AAGGCGGCATTACGCTGGTCACTTTTGTGGGGCCGGGTTACCGAGAAGAAATAACACTTTTTAGCGCATCTTCGAAAGTATCCTGCACTGACGCCATTAATAATAAGTGGCTAGAGTGTCAGCCATTTCGACCTCCCCGTTGCCGCGGACGAAGGCTTAAAAGTTCACGTTCAAACGCAAACTCCAAACTTCTTCCTTCTAAAGACGTGTCAAACATAGACCACATACCACCGCGGACATCAACAAGTGCACCACTTGACCACATAAATCGGTGACTCGGCAAGTAAGTCACGCTGTCATGTATTGGAAAGCATCTCTCGCTCGATGTCCTCCCTATCATGTCGGGTTTGGCTGCCGACGACGAGAGAACACTAATAATACATATGGGTTGAAGACGTACACAGGATACATAATAACATCCAACGACGATATGAAATGTCACCTGTTCACGAGGAACATCAAAGCCTTGGTTGGCGAGTCCACGCCTTTCCCGGGGTGTTGGATGTCGGTGAGGATCAACGAACACTGGGATGTTACACTGGCCGCCGTACTGTTCCCGTACAGGTCGTCCGTCGTCACTTTCTCGTTCACAGTGAAACCATCCGTCGGCGAGTTGCTGGATGAAAAAGAGGTCAGATGTACGAGCATGACCGCGTCCTGGCTAAACTTCAGATGACCGTTGGCGGCGGACGCAGGGCGTCCTGCTCCAGTAGAGGAGTACACCAGAGTCAGCATGTTCTCCTCGATAACCACGCGCATGCCCTTAGCTGTGAGTGCGGCTGCAGGGACAGAGATGCGCGATTGAAAAATCCAGGCGCGCCGTTGACCCACTGGTATGACGGTGGTGTCTGCGTGGAGCAACCCATGCAATCAGTAGGCCAACAATTTACGCCGAGGAACTCAAGGTAAATATTGCCAGCTGACAACTCCCGACGCACTCGCGATCTGCGTCTTCGAGAGGTGTGAGTGGTTTCCCTACCCTATCTCTTCTGCATGCGCATCAGACTTGTCAACGTGAGGGACACGTGAAGGGTTTATGAACACGACCTGCACGTTGTCGCGCGCTCGAGATTGCGCACTCGACCAATCACTTGGGTAGGTTATTCAAGTCTGC